TTTTATCGTCCGCATATTGCTTGCAGTTTCAACGAGCTTTGTTTTTCCCAGTATTTAGTTTTTTAAACTCCAGTTTTACCTGCTTCACTACTTCCGCGACGATTTTCAGAAGAAATTGCATTCTTTTAGTTGTCAACGTGTTCTTCCGCATTTCCAACCGCTTCGAGTCGTCAGGGCAAACCGACAAATTCGTTCTCTATCAAGAGTTCAACCGCTCCCGGCTATCTGTATCATCTAGCAAGATAATAGAGAAGTTGGCAATATACAGGGTTATTCACGCCGTACGGCACGGACGTTTGCCGCTAGCCCGTTTTTTTTTGCAAAGTATTATTTGAGGAATCCACAGACGTCTATCGGGTGCACATTTTAAAAATATTTTTGTAATATACAGAGTGTCCCAAAAGCCCTAAAAGTTTAAATCCGCGCTCGGTAGGCGTCGCGCAATTGATAAAAAAATACTTTTTAAAAATCAAACGGTTTAGCCGCAAACTTCCGTGCCGTACAGCGTGAATAGCCCCTGTATTTTGATCGGAAAAGCCATCGCATGGTCTTAAAGCAATTTTTTTCAATCAACTCAGCGGACGATCGTAATGTTTAGTACTAACAATGAGCTTCTATAACAGCCTTAGCATTTGCTCCTTTAGTTGATATCACTAGGTTTCATTTTGTTTTACTCAATTGCCACTAGTGAGCTGCGATTAGAGCTGGCGTATTTACACAGCTTAGTATGGTTAAATGCAAACTTACAATCTCCCGGAAAATCAACGCAAAAAATCAATATTTTCCCCCGAAAATAGGTACAGCTAATGATCCAAAAGCGCTTGAACAGTAACGCCACAGTAGATTAGAAGAGCATTAACGACTTTTTCATGTACCTTAACCAGTTAACTTCGACAACCAGACCAGTAGTCCTTATTTAGCGATTTCCCAGTTGTGTTTGCTGTGTAAATACGGTTTGTAGATTTGAGGCTCGATATTAATTCTCGTAGTTAGATTTCAACAGGTTTCCTTCTGGCAGGAAGATGGATGGTTTGAGTAAAACAAAACGATCCGGACCGACTTAAGTAAGAACCTGTTCATTTGTATTTTATTGAGTTTTAGCGATAAACATGTTTGGCTGCTAATAATAGGCCACTGAGTGGTTCAAATTGGAAAATATTAATAGATGAAACCTAACAGCTGTAGCCACTAAAAATACTTTAGCAAAGGCAATGGCTAAAAAATGTTCCTCTTAAGCCTTAACTTCAACGAAAATAACTGGGGTTTAGTTTCGCCACTTTCAAAGCGGGCGAAAAGGAAACGACGAGTGTAAAAGACGCGTGAAGTTTCGCTGCAAATAAAAACGAAATTCAATAGGCTTAAGAGATCGACCTTTCACCTTTCAAGGTGTTTGATCACAACCGCGATTTCGGTCTAAGCAACATTTCTACCTAACGTTTTGCCTGCAACAGGCACCATCAAAGGCACTCAGGGCACATGGGTTTTTCGGGTTTTTAGGCCGTCGTAAAATGGAATTTGTTCCAGACGTTTCGCAAGCACGAGTGGCTTGCATCTTCAGAAGTGGTTT